TTAAGGAGCGACCACTCCCCTTGGACACCCGGCTCCCCTCCCCTCTGAGACTTCAGCGCTTCTCCAACTAGCCTCCTTAGCTCGTTGAAGTTCGCCCTCCTAAAATCTAGGGCCACCACCTGACTGCTTGCCTTTGCCACCTTGCGCTGAATGGTGAATTCTAGCAGGCAGTGGTCACTGTCGCCTAGGGGGTCAAGCACCCGCAGCCCCCTCACCAGGTCGTTGCCCGTGGCCAACACCAAGTCCAACAAGGCATCCCCCCTGGTGGGGCTGTGCACCTCCTGGGTTAGATGAAGGTCCTGGACTCTGTCCAAGAACCTACGTGAGCACTTGGACCTAGCCGACTGCTCTTCCCAGCAGATGTCTGGGAAGTTCAGGTCCCCCATGACTACCACATCCTTACCACATCCACATTCAAAAAGCCTGAGGCAAAATTGATCTATGTTACTGGGTTTTCTATAAGTGGCATAGTTTAAATTATTTGTAGACAGAACACACATTTGCCCTTGGGTGGGGGGCAAATCTTAGACTAGGTTCTGCCATATTTAAGCCAGTCTACATGTGCTGAACATTAGGGGTGTGCAAAAATGGCCATACTTGAACTGGATTTGGATTCGGCCTGAATTGGGGACAGTGATTTGATTTGTTGATTCGGATTTGTGCCCAATTTGTTTTGGCTGAATCTGAATCTGAAGATTCAATGCTGATTCAGAGAATCAGTGTTTTGGCCATAGACACAGCTTTAAAAAAATTTTCTACGTACATCGAGCTACCAGGCACGGCTTGTGAATACTGAGACGCTGGGGCAGATGGAGTGTCCCACAGGAGTGCGGGGGGCTGCCCAGTACGCTCCCCAGCAGATCCAGAAGTGGACCAGAAGTGCTTCTAGTCCACTTCTGGGTCTGCTGCTGAGCATACTGGGGACCCCCCTGTGCTCCTGTGGGATGCTCCATCCACCCACCATCTCAGAATTCATGAGCTGCCTGGTAACTTGAGGCATGTAGAAAAATCATTTAAAGCTGTGTCTATGTCTGAATCATCGAATCTCTCCAAATCTCTCTGAATTGATTCTGGGGTTTCCAATTCAATTCACAGAGATTAAAGGGTCTCCTGATTTGATTCAGACTCAGAGATTTGGCCACCAAATTGGGACGAATCTCTGCCAAATCGAATCAGCAACTGAAGCTTCACACAGCCCTACTGAACATCTCTTCTGTTATGGGTGTAGACCAGTTTTATGTGTCAAGCTTCTGCTCTCTTACAGTTATAGACCAGTTTCCAGTCACTTATACTAGTAAAAATGTAATGTCTATATTTGACCTTAGGTTGGGGGAGGCAGGGGTGGAATTCAGAAAGCTAGTGTGCCACTGAAGTATTATTTACATACTCAGACTATTCACCTAGAAGTAGGGAAATGAAAAAAAATAGGTTTGTTTATTATTAAGTGTAAGAAAGGAGATGAATATAAAATACTCTGCCTTTGAGAAGATGCAGTTCACTGGAGGCTTATAGGTCAATAAACTGTACGATAAAAGGAGGGGGGAATTGCAAGACTGAAAATAAAGAATGGAGTTGCTACAAAGACTTTGGGGAGACTCTTGCTTTCCCCTCTAGTTTATCTGAATTTGTGCCCACTGCTTAAACCACCCATACCTACAAACTGGACTTTTTAGGTCAGCTATTAGGTTTGAGGAGCCTTTTTTTTCTCACAAATTACTATAGTAAGGGGTCAATCCTGCAAGCTGCTCAGCATCCTGGTCTTGTTCCAGCAAAGCACTTAGGAATGGGGTCCCCTTTAAGCAAGTGAGCAGTTCTGTTATGTCATGTTACTCACTTGCTGCACATTAAACATGTGCTAAATTGCTTTGCTGGATACTGGCCAGACTGCTCAGCACCTTGAAAGATCAGGGCCTCAGTCCTGTCCTCTTTCTTACCAAAATGAACTGAGAGTCGTGTTGTAGCATTTACAACAAAGAAGTGGATAAGACACAGAAACGTTACATTCTGCACAGGAAAATGGCATAGAGACTTTGTGTTTGTTCTTTGCTAATATTTAGTGGTTTCTTTAATACTCATGCTAATATTTAGTGGTTTCTTTAATCATCTCAGGATATTTGCTTCAACCACCTTGTCTGTTAGTATCTCTACGTATTTAAAAAACTCTTTGAATGAAAGCTGGTTTCCCTTTTTATTTTTGTGCATCTAAAGCTGCACCTTATGTTTTTTCTTTGGGTTCCATCTTCTTGTTGTCTATGAACTAAGTTGATACTGTTTTAGTTGATATCGGTGTGGTTTATAAAGGTCATGTTCTTAAGGTAAAGGACTTCTGAAGGAACGTAACTTGGCTGCACGTATCATCTTGATTAAGACATTAGCACAATACACAATCAATGGGGTTGATTAAATGGAATAAAACAAAGGCTACTTCATGTGCCTCAATACCTTAATGTAAATGGGGTATTATTATCAAGTAGTTACATTTTAATGAGATTAGTTCTTAGTTATTTATATTTATAACAGTGACCCTGAAGAAAATATAAAATCAATACTGATCAAGTTTGGAGATGGTACAAATCTTCTGGCAATCCCTCACAGTCGAGGATGATTGTCTTGATTGTCTTAGTTATGTGTTGAAAGATGGCTGATGAGGGTTATCTGGGATTGACAGACTCTACTGCAGTTTGGACATGTGTTTCTGTGTGGGGTGGGTGGCACTGGATTGTTGATTTGGTCTGCAACACACTGTTTCTGCTGATTCCACTTTTCCAGTTCCTGTTGTTGTCATGAGGTTTCTGAGATAGTGAAGTTCTGAAATCCCCGCAGCAGATTCTTCCTCCATTTAGGCTGGTCCTGGGTGATAGTCTTCTGTGAATTGACATTGATGTTGCATTTTTTAAGTTGGCCTTGAAGATGTCCCTGAACCCAGATAGCACAAATACTGAAGGAGTGACAAAAAGAATCCCATGAAAACTCATCTATACCCTCATGGCCCCCTGGGAGCCTTTTCCTCTCAAAGTCCCCCTTCCCCCACAACAGTTCTCCTCACCCTTCAGAGCCCCTGAACATGGGGCAGTTGGGGGCAGTGCTGAAACTGCCCTAGCCACTCTTCCCTGCTCCTAATGGCATACCCATTGGCCTTCCTCCTCAATATACAGAAGCAAAAAGTTAGGGTTGTGAGAGGACTTGCTTCAGCTGCTGGCAGGGTCCC